ATATGGGAGGGATCAGTCTCACTTTCCTTCACACCCGTTGGACTCCCCCAGTCCAACCCACAATTGGCAAGGACAACCATCCACCACAAGCCCATGCTCTTTATCTTCTAAAATCCAGGGGGGCGCCTACCCAGAAAAGCCATGGACTGTTCCAACCCTTCTTGTAATGCCAAGTTAGAAAGATTCAACCCCACATCAGTAAGGTGAACCCCATCACCCCTAAAGCTTCTTCCTATTCAAACACCCTGTAGAACCCCCAACTCCCAACACAAACTTAGAAACCCCCTCTATTGAGCTTTACTCAAACCGATCCATGGCCCTTGTATCCCTGGCAAACTTCCAATAATTACTGGAAATGAAACCACACCATACAGAGGTCGGGGAAGAGCACCTAAATACTGGCCAAGTCCTGCAAAATCAAATCAGAAAATTCCCTCACTGGGATTGTACCCAGATCGTTGCTCCAAAATGAATGATCAGCACATCAGGAACTCCCAGGAGATGGGACAAGCGAACCAGCTCCAGAACCAGCTGCGTCCACCACATACCACGGACCCCAAACCATCGCATCTCCGCCTTTGACGGGGACAGACCTTGTTGCTCCCAGGATATGTATGAGCGCCCGATCACCCACACACACCGGGCTGGCCCTACGGAGACACAAAAGTGGAAAACGCGATCAGACTATCGGGCGGAACATAACTCTTGAACCACCCCAATTCCCAGCGCCCAATTCTACGAATAGCTTGCTCAGAAAATCCAAGTCATGATGCTTTTGTAGCAACTCCGAAGCAGAATGAATGCTGAACTCTGAACTCGGGATGCCCAGAGCATCCAGTGCCAGGCGAAACACCCCAATTAACTGAAACCGTGATAGAAAACCAGCAGAAAACCCAAACTAACCGATGCAGCCTTGCAGTAGACATTCTGGTACCCGCCTAATGGGCTAACCAAGTCCCAATCCAATGCGTCCTGTTACGGTACCGTTAGTATTACATGTACAAACCGCCGTTTAGTGAATGCTCCCCTTTCGCAATAGCATAGGCTGCATGCGTATCCAGTACAATCATGCGAACCGCAAGCAAGGGAACACTGTAAACTCACGAACAGGATCCTTACGGGCACTTCACTCCACAAGCTCCAAATTCACGAATTGCCAATAGTAGCCGAACGCATATATCTCCCAAGCGGCTAATAATTCCATCCAGCAGTCTCTAGTCGTCGGTAATAAATCCCCCCAATAACGAGACCAAGCTCTGCATTTAGGGTAAAACAAGAACTGGCTTTACTGTGGGCTACCCGCCCATATTTATGCAAGTTAGGATCCACAGACACAGAATATTCCCAGCATGCATTAGTATTTCCTCCCCTCTGCCCTGGAGATAATTGAGAAGTAATTCAATTATCTCCAGGACAAGGACAAATCGCCATTTTAAATACAATATAGAAAAACACATAAAAATATATAACTTGGCATCTGTCGAATGCTACCCATTTGTATCACATATCCCCAGATAGCCTGGATCTGAGTGCACATTATTGGCGAATAGCGCTCAGATCCCATACGCATAGTTCAATCGCCATGGAGTCAAAGTCTATTACAGTCCTTCGGTATGCGATTGACTCCATGGGAAGGCTATCTGGAGTAAGTCCATTCGTATCTTTAAACCTCCCGAACGGCCGGTGTTCGCATCCTTCTGTCGATTGAGAAGGGGAGGTTGACGGCTTCAGCGGTGTTCGGCAGAAAGAGTGTCCGTTTTCAGTTCCATGAAATATATGCCGAACACCGCTGGTCTTTCGCATGTTTTAAAATGGCCGCCGCCTCGTGGTCGACATACGAATGACGACCACCCGGTATTCGGTTCTTAATTGAGAAGTGTCTGCGGTTAACCACAATGTTCTAATTGGGATCAATAGGTTAACCAGCAGCACACCTCTCTTCTGGGTGGCCGTCCGTTCGGTAGTTTCATTCGGCGGAAAAAGTCAACTCACTGAACAGAGGCATACGAACAGGTAATTCCACGAAAAGGCAAAAACAGGCAATCAGACAAATCCAACAACCAGTCTCTACACAGATGGATCTGTCACACGCCCCAAAAAGGCGAGCTCGAAAGAACACCACCTCGAAATTGGAAAAGCACACCACCGGCAGTACGATGACAAACAACGCAACAAAGGTCGACACAAAAGCAGCCGAACCACCGGGGGAACGGGGGTTAAGAAGTCTTCAGGCTAGTAATGGCTAGTACCACCCCCCAGATTATCACAATGGAAAACAACCCTGCAGTCCTGCAGCAACAATCAACAAAGCCACCACTATAGGGAACAATTCGAGAAACGCCAGATTCTTTGTGATGCCCGGCATGTGCCAGCCATCCGACTATGTGTTCTCACACCAGTGGATGTCCAATGTAGCCCCAAGTCCAACAATCCTGCCGTGTCAGTGAACAAATGGAGCGTTAAAAGCCACCAGAAAGGCATCCCAGACGGCCAAATCCTCATATAAGGGGCATGTCAAATGCGCAAAATGTAGTGGCATGGATATGCTAAATGTAGTGGCAGCCAGGAGTCAATTAAACACCCTACCCATAGGCAGGATGCAACAGGCAAACTTAAATTTACCCAACAGCGCATCTAACTGGCGCAGCTGAATCTTGCTCATGTCCAATACCGCTGCCACCCAAGCGTTTAATTCCTCAACCTTATCCACCGGGAGACAACATTCCCG